CCATGAGGAGCAGCTACAGAGGAGCAGCTGCATGAGGAGCAGCTACAGAGGAGCAGCTGCATTGGGAGCAGCTCCATGAGGAGCAGCTACAGAGGAGCAGCTGCATGAGGAGCAGCTACAGAGGAGCAGCTGCATTGGGAGCAGCTCCATGAGGAGCTACATTGGGAGCAGCTGCTGGTAACCACCAGGATGGAGGCAGGTTCCCAGCAGGGGCTGAAAGACGGAGGTGTGGAGCAGCAGCAGACTGAAGGTCTGAAGTGTCTCTGCTCGCTGTGCTAACCGTCCCCACAGCTTCTAGATCATGATGGACGGAGGACCGGATCAATTTACTGAGGCTGATTGGAGACCGGCTGCTCAGCAAGACTTAACATCGCAGCAACGTCTTCTGCTGAAGCCTTTTAAAACAGGCAGGCTGACCTTGGAAGGAGATTCCTTTAAGATGGAGGCGACACCCATGCCGTCTTTCCTCCCAGCTGCTAAAGGCCACTGATGTTTGCATCTTGTCCACATGGAGCAAACATTCCTGATATTTGCCAATTTCCTCCTGCATGAATTAACTTCAGTAAGAATCTAAATTCGCTGAGCAGACATTTCCCCTGTAAGACTTCTGAGGCCACAGAAATACAACCTCCACTTTATTATGTAGAGAATGTAATTCCTGTCCATTCAGAGATGAAAGATTTTTGCTGTTTTTATGATTGTTAAACGCTACGAACTGTCCTTGGATCCGATCAGATAACTGGTCTAATAAACAGCTGTTTGGTTTCTCTGGTCACAGATCAGCAGTAATCAATCAGCCAACTCTAATCCAATATCTAATCTTTTTTTTATTTTCAATTTATTTTTTGAACTGATTATTTTTCCTGAACTCACTTATGCAGATATGAAAACGCTTTGGGATGCAAACAGTGAAAAGTACCGATAACATTCATAACCGCATCATACGTCAGGATGCTGGACGGTAAAAACTGCCTTAAATCAGAGGCCAGCGGCTCAGTCTGTGGTGGACATGAATTCACACAGACCTCAATGTTCCTACAGGAGCTACTGATCAACCCTTTACCAACATCTGCCTGCTTTGATCAACCCTTTACCAACATCTGCCTGCTCATCAAACTCATCTAAACTAAACTACTATGTTCAAAGAAGAAGGGAAACATGGTTGAAAACTATTTTACAGTTTAAAATGGATTTTGTGTTTGAAAACCAAAGTTTCTCTGGAAGAATTTGGGATCTGATCAAATTAGCTTTTCACTCATTTAGAGAAATTGGAATGTTTTCAGACCAATTCACAATGCAGATCTATGAGGTTAATAAAACATTATTTGGCCAAATAATGTTTTATTAAATGATTTGCTTAATCAGGAACCAATAACCTTTAGTTAAATGATTATTTTCCCTCTTTGAAATAGCTAGCAGCGAATAGACATCAGGATTCCACTAAATGACTCTTGGTCAGACTTGGTAATGGAAATGTAACGAGCATCTGAGGAACACATGAACACTAATGTTATATCAGTGTTTAAATCTTTAGTGAATAAAGCTGGTCTAAGCTTTAGCAACAGATCATCACATATTCCTGTAGCATAGCGTAGCATGCAGTCCATTCTGTTAGCTTTGTCTTTACTCACCAGTAAACACATGAAATTATCAAATAATGAAAAGACATATTGTTTGTTCTGTCCCTAATTGTGCCAGAGCTGCAAACCTCTGTTCATGTCCATTTGGAAGGTTTAGTTTCATCCAGCAGCAGCTAAGCACGGCAGGAACACAGCAACACGAGGGTTTTATTGTCCATACGACTCACACCAACGGATCCTTAGGAGGCTTTCTCCAGTCTGGCTCTGTAAGTTCTGAAACTCAAGAGAAATGTGTTGCAAAAAAACTGTTTTGCAGCAGTTTGGTTCTGAAAAGTCAGCCATCATGACTTAACTTTGGTCATTCTGGAGATCTGGGCCTTTTTCCTGGATCTCCATGGTGTTGCCTCTTCCAATGTGGACCCTCAGGCAAGTTCATGGGAAAAAGAGGAAGAAAGATCCTGTGTGCTTTGGTTTTACCGTTCCCAGCTCTGCAGGGGAACAAGGTGAAACTTGGAGACTGGTTCCCAATGTCCAAAACCACCATCATGGCACAACATCCCTAAACCTAAACTCAACTCACAGCTTAGACCTAAACCTAACCCCCACCCCAAGAGGAGAACTGTCCCCCATGAGGACCAGTCTTTGGTCCCCACAGGTACCTCTAAGTCCTCATAATGTAGCTGATTCCTGGGAAATTGTCCCCACAAGGTAACAACAACATGGCCACAAACACACAGAAATATCTCACAGTTTGAAACAAACCATTCGTGGATTTTAGTTCCTCCTCCATTTTTTCCAGAAAAGCTAAACTGAAACCAGAACCAGGTTGGTCCAGTTTGTTCCAGTTTTGACCAGCTTGGTCCGGTTTAGACCAGTTAGGCCCAGTTAAGTCCAGGTTGAACTTGAGTCTCCATCCAGATCTTAGGGCCACATTGAGTCATTAGCTTTCATTAGAAATGGATTATATGCTGAGGAGCTAATTAGGACCGCCTCCCTTCTTTGAACTGGTGTCTTTGAAGCATAACAGTGTTTTAGAGGAGATGAGCTATAACCAGAGCAGCGGGTTAGCGTTAACCTAACCTTAACCTTAACCGTTTCTGTCATTTCATAAAGAAACTGGTGTAGAAACAACAGATCCAGCTGCAGGAGGCCGTGATCAGCACAGCTCTGTCTGCCTCTCTGGGTAACACCACAGTTCATCTGAATGTTGAAACCCAAAAAAAAAGACGTTCTATTTATTTCCATTTATTTCTGTGCTGAAATCCCAGACAGACAAAATCTGAAGGGAGGAAGTCGTAGAGCAGAGGAAGCATTAAACTCATCTGTGCTTCAAAGTCTGCTGCAGACGTCCTTCAACATGTGACATCTCTAACCTGAGGAATGAATCCAGCCTTAATGAGTCTAACGAGGTGTTAATAACATGAATTCCTGCAGGATTGAGTCTTATTTATCCTAAGAGCAGCATTTCTTCCCTCCATGGGGCTCTGGACCTCCTCTGCAGGCTGACCTGCCCTAACCTTCACCTGTTAGCAGCAGGTTGAGCTTCCAGGATAAAACCTTCTGTAGGGAACGATTGTGCTGCGTGACGTGATGCTGTAGACGTGGGAACAGACTCTGCATGTGTTTGGTTTCTGTTTAGAGAGGTGAATGTTCTTTATGCATGAATGACATTCTTACTCCAAGTTTAGTCACTTAGACCAGCTGGAAAGTGGCTATCATGCCCTGGGCCTCTAAATTCATTCATGTTTTAAAGATGTGATGATGTTCTGGATAATT